ATTTTGTGATTGTATTTTCAAGTGGGATGGAGAATCTAAAATGATACATTTTAGCCCTCTGTTTCAAACCAAAATTAAATATTTCAGAAATGAGTAATGCTATGTCAAGCTCAATTGCCACAAAATATGATGTTGAAGAAAACCCAAATTATAAGATTTTAAGCAATCATTCAAGGGTTTTTTGCCCAAAGTTATGCTAAGCCCAGGGTAGACCAGTAGTCTTCTCACAATCTTGCAAAGTCACATTGTTTCTGGAGGAAATAATAAAACCTCCACATTGCTTTTTAGAAAATGTAACTGTGAGGATTTAGTGTTATTTAGGATCAGTAGCAAAGCAAAGGAACAAAGTGATTGAATGCTTTGCTTGAAAATAGAGATTTAAATTCCTATGTCCTTTATCTTGAGCCTTGTAAAACTTCTTGAATCACTGGGGTTCAAACTCTGGGGTTTTTTGTTTTGTTAGCTGCAGGTCTTTTGAGTCTGCTGTGATGTCACAGTTTGTGCTAAAGTGAAGCAAATGTAGAAAGTGGAAAGAAAAAACGGAAGCAATGCGTCATTAAATGAATGATTCCATAAAATTTAATGGAGATGTCAGTAAAGATAGAAAATATGGAGAAAAATAGAGTAATTATCTAGCTAGATAATCAAAGTATCTCTTAGTAAAGTGAAATACTTTTCTGAAGAGGTGAAATTGGGTTCTAAATATTGAGAGTACCAAACACTCCTCTAATCAATTTAGAGGCCTACAAGTAAGAATAACTGTGTTATGAAAATCAAGTTGGAGCTGTGGAAATTGAATTATTAGAAATGTTTGTACTTTAAAACTAGATTTTGAAAGGACCTCAAGCTTAACTAAGCCTTCAGTTCATACCCCCTTGAGTAGGAGAACAGCATTTTGAAGAAGGCACAAATCAGGTGTCTTTAATAGCTATGAGGTGCTCTTTAGATGTGGTCTGTCCTCCACATTAAGGGGTTGTACAAAGAACCACTTCCCAAAGAGATGCTGGAAGGCAATGATTGTTAGAGGTGTGATTATATCTTGTACAGCAAATTGTTCTTATTGGTCTTTCTGCTTGCACTGGGGGAGAAACAGGCAGTGTTTAGTATCATTTGGAGGCTGCAAAATATTTTCTTCTCTCTCTTCATATAGGCAGATGCTCTGTGTGTGGAGTAAACCAGACTCTGCTTATGACTCTCCCAGTTACCTAGCTCCTGACATGGTGTTAGTCACACCATCCTACAGCTTTCCCAAACACCAGGCAGCAAATCCGATCACCTCTATGTATCCACAGTGTGCTAAAGACAGAAAAACCCAAAGCACAAAAGTGTTTTACATTGATGTCTGGATGCCCTCCTCATCCCTACTTATTGTATAAGCAACAAGGTGGGAATACAGCACACTGTGGCACCAGGAACTCAGGTAAGTTTTTTATAAGTCTTGAGTACATGCATAAGATTGCATTATAAGATTACATTCCTTGTGTTAAAGTACAGAAGTCAGGGAAGCCATCACAGAAAACAGACTTATTGAGATGGATCAGTTTTGCAAGACCAGGTTTAAAAGAGCAAAAATATGGGTAGATACAGATATTGTCAGCAGGTAGGGACTGGAAACTCTGGAGCAATATGACTTAAAATAACTTCTGCCTTAGCAAGCAGCTAGCCCTTTGACACTACTAATACAGAATGGAGAACTCCCATAAAGAAATTATGTCTAAGAGAAAGAAACTCTGAAATAAAACTTCTGCAGAGTCATTACAAAGAAAGGGCTTTCTGACAGCTTTGTGCTCTCTGGCTTCATTATGGAGTGTGTATAATTGGTGTGATAGGAATAATTTATTTGTTTGCATCTTAGGTTTAATGAGTGGCACTGGGTAAATAAAAACAAGAACAGCAACCTGCCAAACCCCAAGCTGCTGCAGATGATGTTTCCTGTACAGCTCCTGGTGGATCTGCAACTTGTCAAGAGCAGTGATTCTATTAGTGAACACAAAGTCAATATTGCTTTCTTTTCATCCAATTATAGTCAGTAAAATCATCAGGGTTATGGATGTTTGAAAACACAGCTGGTGCTTTGACTTCTTCAAGGAGAAAATTTTTCCTGACTTACACTTCCATTCTTGTCAGGTCATCTGCATTATCCTGCACTGGCAGTGATATGAGGGGAATGGGACTCAGAGTCTGTGAGTGATGCTTTTGGAATATCCTGTATTAATGTGTGAACAGCTTCATGCTTGGGAGCAGCCTTATTCCAGCTTGCTCCAGTAGTACAGGTTAAAAAGCATAAATTTCCCTCTTTTCTAGTGTAGTATATTTTGTTTGAGGTTTTCAACAGCTCTGCAAAGCTTAGGAAGTTTCACAATCTTCCTTAATAACTGAGAAAGCTGTGAGGAAAAAATGGAAAGCAACATACTCAGAGGTGTCTAGTAGTTTTGATTGTAGTATTTCAGGGGTTTTGGAGGGTTTCTTTGTTTGTTTGTTGAGGATGATTTTTGTATACCAAATAAAGCTGAAGCTTGGTTACTCTTCTGTGCTGCAGGATCAGCAGGAGGCCTCGGCATGTGCCCAATTCCACATGCTCCAGTCCTGTGTGCACAGCCTGTGTGCACACAAACTGGCTGTCCTGCCATGCTGAGTCCTTAATCATCTCAATGGGATTTAAGAGCAGCTCAGGCTGCTGCACAAACAGATGAACAAGTAGTTTGTAACCACTTCAAGGTGGTAGCCTAGAATTCTCACATTTGTGGTTGAGGTTCTTTGAAGGAAAAGGTTGAGAGTGTATTAAGCTAACAGAGCAAGATGGAAACACAAAGGATTACCCTGATGGCAACATATGAAGTAATACAGAGCCATGAAAGATTTGTTCTAATCAAATTGCTGGAAAATCAACCATGAGACAGAAGCTGATCTGAGGCCATGGCATGGGAACTTCTGGGAACAGTTTGGCATGGGTCACTATGATGTCCTCTTAAATGGAAAAAGTTTTCAGGATTGCAGCAATAGCTGTGCTGGGTTCAGCAGATCTATTCAATCCTCCAGTCTACTTGTCTCCTGCCCTGGCTCCCCAATCCTAATCCCCAACTGAAAAATTACTTATTGGCCAGCTACTCTTGTGAATAGCAATTTCTTATAGTGATGTAATTTCATTTTCATACCCCCATGATTGACTATTAAATCTCATTTATGGGTAATTAGCATTATCTTCTATCATCCATATGCTGGTAGTTTTCATTGATCCACCACCTTTGGGCGGTATCATAATCATTTTATGGTCCTAGGTGCAATACCAGGCTTAAAAAAATTTAAAAAAAAATCTCTTGATCTATTTTATTCAAGGACATGTTCTCTTTGAAGGGCTAATTTGAGCAGACTGAGATAAGAATTACAATTTGTTTAAGGTGTCTGAGAAATTGCCATTTGCAGCTCATGCTCTGCTGATATCTGAATCTCATTCTGCCCATGGATATCAAGTACTCTGATACTCACAGATCCTGCTGAGTAGCAGACTCTGACTACGTGTACCCAAATCAGTGTTGAGATGCAGTTTCATATCAGTCTAGACTTAGTTTAGCTGGGTTTCTTATTATTTATTTATTTACCTGCTTCATTGGCTCATCCATGAATTCTCATCATATTCTGCTATTACTGGTTAATATAAAATGTGAAAATATATTTGAATTTATTGATGGGAGAAATGCAATTACTGTAAATAATTGCACCAGCAGTATCTCCTGAATTTATTGATGGGAAAAATGCAATTACTATAAGTGGTTTTACTTTCAATAAATGGTGCCAAACCCCCGGTATTAGGAAGAAGTTTACTGGAATTCAGACTAATGGCTGCAGAATGGTACTTCTTTAGGCAATTTTGTCATAGCTGGGATAAACTGGCTCCTTCATATGGTTGCAATGCCCAACAGCTGTGACTGTAAGTAGCTTACTGGAAATTGTTCTTCAGACTGTGCTGGTTCTACTAAAACTGTTTGCATTTTCTCGCCATCTAACTGAAATTATGAAGTTTGGGTAAGAAGACAAGCAGTGTTTTTTGCTGTGTTATGGCACACAGTCTGACTTGTCTAAGATTCTGTTGCCTAAGGTAGGGCACTGAAGCAATTGTGTATTTTGTGGATACAGAGGATTTACAAGATTTGACGACTTTATGTTTACTGTGGTGTCTCTCTTTCTTTGCCCATTTTGATACATACTGGGTTACTTGTAGGTGTCTCTTATCTCAGGTGGCAGCTAGTAGCAATTAGCTTTCCCTTGGCTGAGATCACTGCCCTCAGAAATGGAGCAGTGCATTTCATTGAGCAGAGGAAATTGAGTTTTTTGACAGCCAGTTTTGGTTGTGATAACCACAGACCAAACAGAGATGGCCCAGTGCAATTACAAGGTAATTTGCTTCAGGCCTTATAGCTTGCTGAGTTTTTCAAATGTCAAAGAAAAGTGAGAAAAAAAAGGTGTTTTAGTCATAAAAGCATTAAGTTATTGGGGTTGTTAGTGTTGCTACTGCTGTGTACTGTTACTTAAGTGGATGAAGGTGCATATTTGTGACTTATGTATGTACTTTCATCACAATCAATCTGTATCTCTTACAGCATTCACTCAGGAATTTCTGGATCACTGTGGGAGATTAAGCCACCTCTTTCTGGATAAATGTACTCTGAAGATGTGCCAGGGGATACTGCTGGTGCAATGCCAAGAGTAAGTGCTTCTCCATGTAACTGATTCATGGGACTCCTTACCAATGGATGTTGCAGGTACAAGGAGTTTAGATGGGCTCAATGAGAGATGGGAGAGGACCTTGGTGGAGATATTAATTGGTGTTGCTACATAAACAAAACACAAAATGCCCAAGAAATCCGTGGACAAGTGTTAGAGTAGAAAGTACTATACTTGCTTATCCTGTTCTTGCTTTTCCTAGGTTTCCACTAGTGACCACTGTTGAAGGCAGAAGTCTGGGCTAAGTGTGCTCTGAATCCAGGATACAGTCCTATGCTCCTATATTTCAGAATTCTTCAATTTCTCCAGCACAGAAATTTTATTGAGCTCTTCTTGTAAGTTGAATGTCAATTGGGGTTCTCCATATCAAAATAATCTTGCACTTTTTTAACAGTGGGAACTTTAGTTTACTTTTTACTACTGTTCCAACCATTCTTATCAACATGTCACTGGTTTATGTTTTATTCATCCATGTAGTGTCTAATCTTTAGTCATTTTTTGCCCTTTATTTTTGGAATTCTCTAAGAACTTGCTTGTTGAACACAAAAGATTATTTTCTTTCCCATGGTTATAACTTCTGGACTTTGCCTTGAATCTGTTGGTAACTCATATACTTTTAAAATTATTTTGAGAAAAAAAATGATGGTAAATTACTCTGTCATCAAAAATACATTTGATGGATTTAGGCACTTGTAAATCACTGATCTGCATTCACATTGCATGCACACTGCTAGAGCTGCAATGTATAGAAATTAATATTCTAGACAGACTTTGCACTGAGGGTAGGATTACATAGGTCACATGTTAAGATTGAGGCACGTGAGCAAGTTACAAGAATAAAGTTGATGTCACAGAACCATTTAGGTTGGAAAAGGCCTCTGGGATTGAGTCCAGTCTTTTATTGATCATCACCTTGTCAATTAGACCGTAGCCCTGAGTGCCATGTTCAGTTCTTTCTTGAGCACCTCCACGGATGATGACTCCACAGGGAAGTCAGTCCCAATGATTGACAACTCTTTCAGTGAAGAAATTTCTCTTGATGTCTAACCTGAGCCTCCCCGGCGCATCTTGAAGCTGTGTCCTCTTATCCTGTTCTGGTTGCCTGGAAGAAGAGGCTGATCCCCACTTGGCTACAGCCTCCTTTCAGGGAGTTGTAGAGGGTGATAAGGTCACCTCTTTTTCTCCAGGCTAAACACCCCCAGCTCCCTCAGCTGCTCTTCACAGGACTTGTGCTCCAGACCCTCCACCAGCTCCATTGATTGCTCTTCTCTGGACATGCTCCAGCACTTCAAAGTCTTTCTTGTGGTGAGGGGCTGAGAATTGGACACAGCACTTGAGGTGAGGCCTCACCAGTGCCAAGTAAAGGGGGACAATCACTGCCCTGGTCCTGCTGGCCACATTATTTTTTATATAAACCAGGATGCCAATGACCCTCTTGGCCACCTGAGCACATGCTGGCTCATGTTCAGGCACTGTTCAGCTGTTGGCCAGCACTCGAGGTCCTTTTGTGCCGGGCAGTTTTCCAGCCACTCTTCCCCAGACTGCAGCATGGAGTGATGTGGTTCATGTGCAGGACCCAGCACTCAGCCTTGTTGGACTTCATACCACTGGTCTCGGCTGACATATCCAGATCCTTCTGCAGAGCTCTCCTTGCTCCAGCAGTACCACACTCCCACTCAATTTGGTGTCAGCCACGAATTTATTGAGGGAACATTTGGTCTCCTCCTCTAGGTCATCATTAAAGATACTAAACATGACTGGGCCCAGTCTTGTTTAATCAATGGTTAATCAATGGTCTTAAAAATCAGTAACTGGGTCAACCCACAAAAGTGACTGGGCCAGTTTGATACTATAGAAATACAAAATCTGACAGTTTTATTTATTAGGACAAATATTTTTACAGAGTGGGACTTGTTTAGAGCAGAGAAATTTTAGAAATTTTAGCAACAAATAAGAGGGCAGAATGATGTCTCTTTCCTGGCCTAGCCTGTGCAGCCCTAACACTGGTGAATATTTGGATCATGCAAGTGATCTCACCAATGCCAATAGCCCTTGAAAATGAATGATGTGGTACAGATCAGTTCTTAGACTCATAACACCTCCTAGTGTGCTGCTCACATCCTCTATACTTTAAACATCACCTTTGCCTGTGGCCTGCTGAGTCCATCAAAGTAGTGAGTTGAAGCAAATACTGCTGAAGCCAAAGGGTTGGAAGAGAGAAGACAGAGCAGAAAAGCATTTGAAGACGAGGGAGGAGGTTAGTCCTACCTACAGAGAAGAGCTCACCCTGACTTGATGAGTCCAACTTCTATTAAAGGGTATAAGGTCTAAAGTTCCAGTTGCAGCCCACAGAGCGTGTTCTGAGGAGTCAGTCTGTGGCTGCACAGTGTCTCTCCTGTCATCTCCAAACTGGGTCTTCAAACTCATCTCATACACATATTCATATCTGCAACAGTTTTGCTACCTACACAGACCTTTATAAATAAAGACGTTGCTGAGCCATGTGTTTGGGTGCAGAGGCTCCTTAAAAATATCCTGGGTGAAGTGCAGGTTCCAGCACTTATTGGCAGGATGGAGATGAGGGGAGAGTACAGCTGGAATGTCGGGGAAGAAGGATTTGTGGTAGCTTGAGTTGTTAACTATAAATGTGCATGCACTGTTTTTATTTATTATATTTTATATATTTTATACACAAATACACTTACACAAGAAAAAAAGGAAAGAAAAAGCTATACATGAGATGGCACAAGAGAGAGAAAGAAAAAAACCCCAAAGATAAATTACAGACGTGGTTGGGCTTTACAAAACAGTTTGTATTTAGGTTGCTGTTGGAGGACAGAAATCATTGCCCAGAGCCAATAAATAGCACGTAGCAAGGATCACATCTGTTTTGCATTCTAATTAAAATTTCAAATAAGCAGCTGAGATGCATGTTTTCTGTAACAAACTGGCTGTGGTGTTTTGAGAGCTTTCTGATGAGATGAAAGCTGTAAGGATGTAAGGGAGGTCGTCTGAGTTATACCATCAGCAGCCTGTCCTATCAGTCATTGGTATTATCAGTTATTTGTGTGAAGGTAACACATTAAACCCATAATTTTAATAGGAGCCCAGTAGGTATTACTGACTAGCCAGCACAACCTTTGCCCCAGAGAGTTTATAGTGTGAATGCACAATTGGAAAAAAAAAAGATGAGAGAGAAAATAAGCAGAAGGAGTTACAATTATTTGAGGTAATGATAATTTTTCATGCCAGTCAGAGAGATATGAACGGAATCCAAAAGTTTAAATTCCTAGTGCTATGCCTTAGGCATAAGAGAACACGTTACATTGGCCTGCAGTGCATGCTCATGGTGCTGTTACTTTTGTCAAAGTGTTTTCACAAGCAGTGATGACTTAAAAGACAATAGAGAAAACCCCAAATATGCTTTGTGGCTGTCACTGGGAAACTTCAGAATTATATCCATCCATTACATCCATTTACGTGCATAATCTGTTTTTCTCCGTGCTGATTTTTGCTCTTGCCTAGAAAGATTTGGATGGAGGCAGAGAACTATTGCTTATGCAATGGAGATAGGCAATAAGGTTCATCCTCTACAGGAAAGGGCAATATTGAACAATATGTGTTGAAAATAAACATTTTAAAACCAACATGCTGATTTCTGCAAGAGTAGTAAATAAGCTATGGATTTTTGTAAATGGCTTATGTTAATATCTAATATCTCTTAAAAAAAAAAAGAAAAATATCTAAATTAAAATCTGTATTGCTGCAGGCTTGCCATTTACACAATTTATATATGTTAAAAGAGAAAAATGAAACAGACCAGTGAACAGCAGGCCATTTAGGCTAATTCTTTGATGGAACAATTAATCTGGGATTTCATTAATCAAACATTAGAAAGTAAAAATGTAAATAATATCAGGCAACTAAGTTTTGTGGAAAGTAGGCCTTGTCAAATAAACCTTTAATCTTTTTTGGCAAGATTACAAGTCTGGTTAATTACAACAACTTCACTGATAAAAAGAATTTGCTGGATTTCTCCTGGGAATTTGATTTAGTACAATACGGCACCTAGGAAAAAAAACAAAATAAAATTTATGGATAAGACAGGGCACACTTTAGGGGGATTAAAACTCTTTCAACAACAGAGATGAAAATGCAATAGATTATACAGATTATCATCAAGCCACATCTTTACTAGTAAGAAAATTAACAGGTTTGACTCTCCTCCTTCTGGTTGGTTATTCTGGGATATCTTCCTGGTAAAATTCACCACTCATATAGGGCCTGCATAATGGCAACCTTCTGAGGATGCTCTTAAGTTCCATAACTCTTCTGAATGACATAGAGGGTGAGATTCAATTATTAAAAAAATAAATATAAAGAGGTACCATTTCAAGTGTCCTAAGGAGCTGAATTCTTCTGCCTGGTGGATGTGACACAGGACGTAAGAGAAACCCAAACCTTTCAGAAGAGCAGCTGGGGCCATTTGGGATATTTCCTCACAATCTGAATAGGACTGCACCCCCCTTTTTAGGCAAGCAAATCCTATCTCAGCTAACATCTGACAGCTGGAGTCTTCTCTCCTCAACCACAGCTCCTACCCACAGCTTCTGATACAGCACTTGAACCTAACAGGAGGTCACTGCATCCAGGAATGATTGAGCAGCACTCTTGAAATTTTCCATGTGCCCCGTGTTAAATTTACTACCTGTTACAAAGAGATTACCAAGTGTTTGCCAGCCCCTTTGAAATAATTTTTAATTACACAACTTACATTTAAAGAGCAGCTTAAAAAATATTAAAAAAAAAGCAGAACTGGAAAAACTTCTCATGTGAACACCAAGAATTTATCTATTCAGTTTATCAAAGAGAAGATTGAAGGATTACCTTATTATTTTACTGAAGTCCTTAGACATGGAAAGCTATGATAATGAGAAGATTTGCAGTCTTGCAGACAGAGATATAATGAAATCCAATTTGTTGGAAGTCAGACAAATTCAAGCTTGAAATAAAACACATTTTTGAACACTGAGGTTAATTAAACATCGGAAGAATTTCCATGGAGGAGGTGATAGATTAGCCATTGCCAAGAGTCTTTCAGGGAAAACTTTCATTCTGAACACCCTTTGTCCAGTTTCTAGGAACAAAAATACCATGGACTCTGTGTGGAAATTTTCAAACTAGATGATCACAATGGTCCTTTCTGACTATACAACACACAAGTTTATAAACGTGAGGAAATGAGCCCCAATCTTCCAAAAGAGGCTGTGCTACTGAAAAATTTGTCCCATCTGCGAAATGAGAAATATTGGAACCACTACAAAAAAATCCTTCC